CTCCCTTCCCCCACCTAAAAATGCCGTTCTTTGTGGACTGCCCGCAGGACGTGCGCAGCCGCAGCAACGGCGACGCGGTCCAGGGCATCGAGCTGCAGTCGGCCGAGGTCCTCGCCGAGGAGGCCCAGGAGGTGCTGGGCGCGCCGCAGGACGGCGGCCACGACGAGCACGACGACGAGCCGTTCAGCGAGATCATGGTGCACCAGTGCATCCACACGGTGGAGTACGTCCTGTCCACCGTGTCGCACACCGCCTCCTACCTGCGGCTGTGGGCGCTGTCCCTGGCGCACGCCCGTGAGTACGCCTCGACAGTTCGACGTCGAAACAGGTCGAAACGATAGCTGCTGCTGGGCCTGACGGTACGGTACAGTAGTAGATCGGGATCGTGAGTAACAACAACACTAAACACCCGTCTTCTGGTCACCACAGAGCTCTCGGACGTGCTCTGGAGCATGATCTTCCGGAAGGGCATCATGGCGGGCCAGAGCGAGCACGACGACGGGAGCGTCGGGAGCATGGTCCTGGGAGGGGTGTTCATCTACCTCGCCTTCGGCATCTGGACCTTCTTCACGGTGTCCGTGCTCGTCCTCATGGAGGGGCTGTCCGCCTTTCTGCACACCCTGCGTCTGCACTGGTCAGTACCCAAATGGTGTCGGCCGAGGGGTCCTCCACTCAAAAAAGTCAGCGTACACAGCCCCCAAAAAAATCATGGGGAAAAAAATCATAAAGAACACGGAACGCAATCAAGCAAAATCAGAAAAAAATCAGAAAAAATCAGAAAAATAAGAAAAAAAATCAGAAAAATCATAAAGTTTAGAGAAAAAATCAAGAAAAAAATGAACATTTGGTGAACGCTTGTATCGGCTTGTATTTGTAGTGAAAGACCCATCGGTATTGGCGCCCTCAGTGTGGTGCGGTAACTTCTCGGTCTGTTTCCGGTGACAGGGTGGAGTTCATGAGCAAGTTCTACGTCGGCGCTGGCTACGCCTTTCAGCCGTTCGCCTTCAACAACATCCTGGAGCCCAGCGCTGAGGACGACTAGGTCGCCGTAAGTGTGTTTGAGAGAGCGGTCGCGCTGCACTGGACTGGACCCGTACCACACACCTTCACGTGATGACAAACTAGTCGCTAGCAAACTTTGTGTTCACGCGGCTCGGCTCACCCCAGCCTATTCCGTAACATTAGGTGATTAATCAGTTTAAGTCTGTCATTTCCAACTACTTGTACAAAACGCATCCAATGTTGAAGGCGTGTTACGTCGATCAACTTCTGCATTCCACTATAGAGTATTCATTTCGTGTTTAGCGTAGTATATTTTTGCCAGACTGAGAGTTCAGGCGAGGTTGTCGATCTATATCAAAAATAAAATAGCTCAACTGAAAAAAACTATTGTTTTATTGAAAACTATTGTATTTTTCGCATTTAGAAAACCGTTTGTTCCGTATTCTTCCATTTGCAGTTCTATCGTTCCTGTCGACTCACGCCACGCTCAGAGTCAAATCAGGTCGTTCCCCACTCGTGACTTGTCGCATGCATGCACGCGCGCGCGCACACACACACTGCGGAAGTCAAATTGCATTCTATAGCGTGTTGTACCCCCCTTCCCCCCATTCCCCAACCTTCTCCACCACACACACACATACGCCGGTGCGTTGTTTGGTAAACGAAGCGTTGCGGCCTGAATTTTAAAATAACAGGTGCGAATCGAATGAAAGCAAATGACATGGAGAAGTAGGACACAACCGGCGGAGCCGGAAAATCAAATCAGAGTGATTATTAAATTTGGCCAGTAGCTGCCCGTCGAGCAACGAGACATCGGCGTTATCAGATTGTAGACAGATTTGAATGGACGTTTACCAACGTTCCAAAATATGCCCAACTGGAGACGCTAGCGCAGCCCACTATGTCTGATTTCGTGCATAAATATGTACTCATAATACACTACTTACGACGTGTGCAATAAAATACTTCTTCAGTTTATGTGAAGTATCGATACCCGTCTGACTCTTACATCGCTTCTAGTATGTCACAATTTCTTACTGGGTCGTGTGATTCCCTCACACGCTGTGCGTCACTGGTCGCACTGAGTTGGCAGTGCCCCCCGCGGCCGTGTCTGCGGATGCAGCATCAACTGGTAAACAGGCGGGAATCACAACAACGACATCAAAATAAATAGTTTGAACCAGAACATCAACAAACTCAACGCAGGACTAAGAACGTCGATATCATGTCGCAGAAATGCAACATTCGCCCCGAACGGCGGCGTCCCCATCGGTTCGACTTCGACGCGTCTAGTGATTTTTTCCTAGAGTCGGGTCGGGGGCGGTAGGGCTGCTGCCTCTGGCCCTGGTCTGGTCGCGCGGCGCTCCCGACGGCCTGGCAGCCCATCCGGCACCCGGCCAGAAGGGACTGCCGCCACTCAGCCGCTCGTCGAGCCCGCCAGGGGCGCCTGCCTGCGTGAGCCCAACTGGCGGCGGCGGCCCGCCAGCCCGCCCGCAACGCGTCGGGTAGGCCAGCCCGCCAAGCACCTGCGTGGAGCCGGCGGCCCGCC